AATAACAACCATTAAGTCGCAAACTATTACACCAAGACTAGGCTTCAGCGCACACAGCCAAAAATGCCTTTATTTTCAACCAGCACGTGAAGAATATGCCTTAGACCAATGCTCCTGTTTTCAAAAATGTTTGAACGAATTAGACGTGTTTTAAATATAACTACAGAATAAATAATAGTACAAGAAATACAACGGAGAACACTTTGAAAAGCAAAACTTTATATATAAATTGTTTATTCATGAGTTACGCAAAACTTTCAGTGTATTTATATACCTACGTAAGTACATTGAGTTATAATGTACGCGTAGTACTCTAAACTCAATGCGTAAGTATAAAGTTATTCGGCGTAAATTGGACCAAAAATTAATAAATCTGAAAGTAGCGCGTTTAAGTGATATCAGGATGTTGAATTCCCGTCTCCTCCGTGAGTCTGGAAAGGCCTCAACGTAGGTTTATAAAAATCAATAAATTTCCATAAAATTCATAAAAATATATATTAATTCGATTCAATCTGTTGAGTCCGCTATCATCATCATCATCATCATTACAGCCCTTCACAAGTCCACTGCTGAACATAGGCCTCCCCCAAGGAATGTCACAAAGCACGGTCCTGAGCTACCGGCATCCATCGACTTCCTGCATGTCTCACCAGGTCGTCATTCCATCTAGTGGGGGTAGCCCTACACTTCGCCTACCGGTACGAGGCTGCCACTCGAGAACCTGTCTTCCCCATCGGTTGTCGGTTCTTCGAGCTATATGGCCATCCCACTGCCACTTCAGCTTACTAATGGCTATGTCGGTTACTCTGGTTCTACTGCGGATATTCTCATTTCTAAGTTAATCACGCAGAGACACCCCGAGCATAGCCCTCTCCACAGCTCGCTGAGCGACCTTGAGCTTCCTCATACGGCCAGCAGTGAAGGACCACGTCTCAGATCCGTAAGTCATAACTGGCAACACGCTCTGGTTGTACAATTTCGTTTTCAGGTTTTAAGGTATGTCTAACGAGAGTCCGCTAAAACGTAAGAAATTATTAAATACAGTTTTTTACTTTAATGTTTCAATATAGTAAACTAACGAAACAACTTTTCTAATAATATAAAAACTAAAATTAGTTTTGATTCATAGAAATCGTTCAACCACGTGTTCTTGAGCTTAGTGAGAGGCTGGAAGTGAGCTATAAGTTGATTTCTTATGGTTATACATTTAATTGTACGTCCGGGATAGTGATAGGACCAATAAATATCAATTGCGTAATGTACTTCCAATACCTGTAATTCTCTTGTAGCGCTTTGCCGCAATAAATAATGCTGCCGAGTATTTTTTAACTGTAGTGTCTGCTTTATAGACTATATTTATTAGCAATCCACTTCCTGGTGATAGAACAAGCTAAAGGATTACAGGTATTCTGTGACTGATAACTTACAAGTTACTTCCTACAGCTCTTAGGTTCTCCCGTCGACCCTGAAAGTTCCTTAACGCCGTAGATTACATCCCAACCTCCGTTGGAGATCATTTACTACCTCAGTATCACGCTTCTACAAGATTATTTGAAATATGTCTATATAATCACCGTATTTAATATGCACTATTAAGCAACTAACTCATTAACACTAATATACTGCAGAAGTATCTACTTGGATGACAGAGTCAGCAAGAGACGCCCTATGCATATATGCGTATATGGATGTCAAAAAAGCAAAAGAGATATGTCAGGATCGTGCCAAATGAAAGTCCATATTCTCTGTCTACCCCTTTCGGTGACAGGTGTGAAAGTTCATGTTTTATGTTATGTTTACTATTAAACAGCGACGAGTCAACGTTAGGCATAATATACCTATACATAAATACTTCCGAAATTGTACGGCATGGATACGAATCTTCAAAAAATTAGTAAACACTACTTTTAATAGCCAAAGAAACCGGCAGGAAGAATGTGGAAGATAAAGCAGCAAGGAAATGTATAATAATATGCAGTTAGAAGAGGTTTATTTATTTATTTATTCTTTATTGCACCAAATACTTGTACAAAAGGCGAGCTTAATGCTATATGGCATTCTCTACCAGCGTAGCGTAGTTCTCTACCTTGGGTAGAACAGAGAGTGAATTTGGGCAGTTAAGTTGTCATGATATAATTCAGTTTAAATATTATATACATACAACACATACATAAAATATACACATATATAAAAATATATATTATTCTTGTGCATATATAAATAAATACACACATTTATACATATATATCTCAATAAATTTATCTATACATATAATAAAAATGTAAATAGCAGATGTCTGTACATTTTATATTTTTGTAATAAAAGTGATTGAGAGATACTAAAAATAAGTAAATAAATACATTTCTACCATTTTTAGATTTTTCTGTCTGTCTGTCTGTCTGTCTGTTTGTTTGTTAACGTATCACGTATAAAGTACTAATTTATATCATAAGAATAGTTAAGGAAATTATTAAGTGTATATTCAGGTTACATTTAGTCTTTATTTCATTAAAATTGGTTAATTCCATCAAAAGTTATGACAAATATTCTGAAGTATGGGTACTACGTATAGGTACGAATTTGTTCAATAGTGGCGTTGGATGATTCATCAAGTACCTTTTAAAATTAACATCATATTATAAATCATAATTAAATGATGTAAAATAATGTTCTATAATGATATAATTATATCTAAAACGCAGTAAACAAAAGTATTACATAAAGAACGTAATAAATATATTAACCTTATTATCTAAACTAAAGTACAATAGTTAACCAATTTCATCGATAGATGGTGGTGTGGCAAAAATGTGATACAAAAAGGCAGGTTAAATTTTTTTCCTGTAGATGAGTTTCATATTTGCTTCTAACCTTTATATTAACGACACGCTGCCCTACTGCGTGTTGACAATCTCATTTATTTTTTATTATTTTACCGCCGAGTACTCTATGCGGTAAATCAAATTTTAAGAGCTATTAACAATTTCGTTTTTCGGCGAGGATCAAACTTTCTTTTTTGCTTAGTATGCAGGCACTGATTTATAAGTTCTTTTATGTTTTTTATTGTATCAATCGTATCAATTAATCTCTTATTTTTAGAATTGATGTTAACAGCGCCATCTCTCTTTAAATCTATACATATAATAAAAATGGTAATAAGATATTGTGTCTGTTTCTGAATATTGTATAGTATATTAATTTGTGACTAAAATCATTATGGGTACTGTAAATCATTAAATAAGTACATTTTTATAATTTTTAGAAGTGTACTACCTGTCGATCTGTCTGTTTGTTTATGGACGCATGACGTTTTGAGTAAACATCATTTTTTCAATGAAATCCTTAAGAAAATCATAAAGCGTATTATCAAGTTTATCAATATTTTTGTGAACTTTTCCGCGAAAAAGACGCTTACCTATTGTTTTATTTATTATTTTTTGTCTAATTAGGATAGTAATTAGATTATGGTACTGCGATAAAGATGCTTTGTTTTGTTTTCGTTTTCTAATCTAGTAGGTACGTTTACATCTCTTGCGATACGGACGCTTTTTATCAGAGCTTGTATAAACTTGTGATCGTAATGGCAAATACACGTCCGAACTACACAGCAGCTGAATATGCGCACATGATACTAATTTACGGAGAATGTCGTCAAAATGCCGCCCTTGCGATAAGTACATATCGCGCGAGAGATATGGCCATTCAAGACGTAGCACTGTTGTCAACATGATCGATGATGACATCGATGTTGGTATCGACAGCTCAACATCGATGTTCGATGTTTAGGCTACTCAAAACATCGATGTTGGCCATTATCGATGGTTTTTGTATATGTGTAGATACTTACACATTGTTTCAAAATCATGTGGGTATACACAGCAAGGGAAAAGTAACAATTAACTTGAATATCACTTTACGTAGAATAGTTATTATGCGACAACCTACAACGACACTACAAAATAAAGCGAAAGCAGTGATTAGTTCAGTAGTTAGTAGTTAGTGATTAGTTATTATTGTGTTACTAACCCACATATGGATTTCAATTATCTGAAATAAAGAATTTATTATTATTATTATTATAGTGACCATTGTGAGATTACAGGAGAAACTTCATTTTTTTAGGTTAACGATGCGTTCAGAAATTCTGAATTATTCAAAATTTTTAATCTACAGAGCAGATGCAATATTTAGTTATATTGATTTCGCGAGTTCGCATTGTTTGCAAGTTCCCAATTATCGATTATGGGTTCATTGACGTCGATGTTTCGATGTTTGACATATGTCAACATCGATGTTAAAACATCGAAGTTTTAATTTTTAACATCGATGATCATCTAACATCCCTATTTTAAGTGTGTTTCCCACTCAGCGTGTGTTATGCGACGATCGTAAATAAAGCGCAAGGTCAAAATTTACGCGTTGCAGGAGTGGACCTCAGTACTGATTGTTTTGCACATGGCCAACTATGTTTCTTTTTCCCGCGTTAGTAGTCCCCGTAACCTTTTTCTGTACGCCCCGGCTAAGTCTACTTCTATCGTCGTTTACACAGAAGCTCTATCATAAACGACTTAGAACTTTGAGCATATCGATTTATTTTGTTACCACTTATTCATACAGTAATGATATAAATCGTTTAATATTCTCTTACCCGAAACGTCAAATTCTTTAAGTAAAACCTATATTCGCGAGCCACGCCGCGGGCACAGCTAGTATATAAATAACTATAAACATATAAAGTAAGTTGACTCAGGTTTGGTGTTGGTTGAGGTTGTATTTATTTGTTTTTTAATTCATTCATTACATACATACAAATGTTGCATCCGTAGTTGTTATTTTCTAGTTATTATTAGGAAGACGTTACTTCCCATCTCCTGGTTTGTTTCCCTCTGTCAACCCTTACGTCACCTTCGGGGCTATACGGTTAATAGAATAGGTTGTATATCTATGTTTTTCTTTAGAAGAAAAAACTAGTTGTCACTTTGTCAAAATTATCATGAGTTATGTGGCGGGAGAATGTTCCGACCCGGACATACAATTTATACAAAGAAATATCAGTGCGAGCAATTTTAGTTTTTGTTTTGTGTGTGTTATATCAAAAATTTCAACCACGTAAACATTACATCACTGAAGCCGAACTTCTTAATTTAAACTATAGACATCCTCGAAAGGAGTCGCGCGTGACCTTGCAATCAGTTATTGTTCTGATTATTTGCATACCTTTAATAATAATCACGTCAGATAGTCTGCTCAGAAACTACGTCGAAACCTTTCAAGGTCTACTGGGATGGAATTTAGCCATACTAACGAACGCCGTCATCACTGAAGCCATCAAGATAACAGTGTGTCGTCCGCGTCCAGATTTCTTTTATCGTTGCTTTTCTAACGGCGTGCTCACCGCAGATTTAATTTGCACGGGAGAAGAGAGTGATGTCATAGATGGGAGGAAGTCGTTTCCAAGCGGTCATAGCAGCTTTGCTTTCTGCTCTCTTGGATTTATAAGTATTTGGTTGTATGGAAAACTAAGATTAATACAAAGCAGAGGAATTGTTTTTATAATGTGCACTCTCCCTTTAATCATTGCGGCATTTATAAGCATAACACGTGTCTATGACAATCGCCATCACTGGCAAGATGTGGTAGGCGGTTCTTTACTCGGATTTTTTATATCTTATGCATCCTACATGCATTACCATCACCCCCCGCCTTTGAGAGCTAGAAACTCTTCAGAATTTGTAAGAAATTAGCGGTCCGTCCCGGCTTCGCGCGAGTGATTTGTGGATCTCAACAACAATTATTGGACCCGGTAGTCACCTACCGGGTCCAATATAATTTAGAGATAGGTATATTTCGGATTATGCTTTGATGACATTTATTACAGATGCTGTAAAGGTAGCGATTGATCTGCAGGCCTGTTATATTATTTGTCAGATATTCGTAATAAACTGATTTTTATATTCTGTATATTCTAGTGTACTATCTACAGTATATAATATACTTATTTATACAGTTAGTGAAAATATTATTTTCACAACAATGAAATTGCCCATATTTTTACTGTTTCATCCATCTTCAACATAGGTTTCTGCGAAAAGTTTATACGTGGTACATTCACGCTGCAGCTATATTATGGTTATAGCACGAATTGGTCAACGCTACCAGGGAAAGAGCACGCTCTCACAGAATACCAGCGTAAAATAGCAGCTTAATGTTGCTGTGTTTCGTATGGTGAGTGTAGACACTAGGAACAAACACAAGCTAGTAATACCAGTTTCTCGACTCCACAGAGTCAGTAATTCATTCTTGGGGCAATGTATACGCTATTACAACAACGTCCCGGAAAGTGTAGGTTCTCTCTATTACCAAGTTTACTTTGTGTGTGGCGTATGACACGCGACACGTGTCTTTTTAAAAATCGTTATAACTCGCTCAAATTTCGTTTTTGGAAAATATATCCAAAACAAAATATTCATTATTTTGCAAGTAGTTCATGCCTACGGCTTGTTTCTGGATCTTTTGAAAATTTGAAATTTTTAGGGGTTGATAACCTTTTTTTTAACTTGTACATGGTACTCTTTTTACTTTGTGGGTTTTAAATCATGTTGAGGGAAAAAAGTCTAATAAGTAACAAATAATAGTACTCATTGAGATCGCTCACAAACTCAAGTTGTAAATAAATTACTGCAAAACAAGCCTTTTGTTAAAAAAAAAAACAATGTGTTTGTCTTATTGTTTAATTTTGCTTAAAATGGTTGAGCTGCCGTCAATTACTATCATATGGCCGAATAGACCTACGAAGTACCATTTGCTCTTTTGATATGGTATAAGGTTTATTTTTGTTTGAACTGTTCGAAACCGTTTATACTTAAAAGTTCGCTAATAAAGTCTTTTGTCAATCCGCCGCCGTATAGCGCCGGCGTTTTTTTTCCTTTTTAAAACACTTGTTTTGCTATGCTTACTAATTAGACGTTTTCAGATCGACTTTACTTTTACATTTGTATAACATTAAATAATATTTAACATTTGTAAATTTGTAAACATACACCTTATTTTTTTCCAAATTATTGGAAAAAAATATTTTTATTTTTATTATTTTTTTTCCAAATTAAGGTTCTTCTTGATATTTACAAATGTTATTATTAGGTGAAAGTTTAATTTAATAAAAACGAAGGTTTTACCGGGTGATTTAGCTGTACCTACTTATATAAATGTTTTTTTATAAAACAAAATAGTACAAAAGGTTCGTAATCTCTGCATAAAAAGTCACTTTCAATTTCAAAGAAAACTCGTAGAAAAACACGTAGTTACCCACTAAAAATAAGTATCCTTCTATTAGTAACTGATGTTTGATGTTAACTAAACTTAATTAGGTCTAAACAAGTGAAAAAAGCTTAAAAAAGAAAATTACTTTTACACATGGCTGATGGCACAATAGGCGTGTCTTCAACTTCTGTGGCGAAATATTTGTTCGCCGCCACAGCTAAAAGTTGTCGAAAATCGGTGCCGCAACGAATCGGAGCTGAAACTGTTTAAAAAGGGTTATTATAGTATAAATTAATACATGGTTGCTAATAACCCCTGGGAATGATGGGGTGGTCGCTTCCAAGCAGTTTCTAAAATAAATTTTGTAAATAGTTTGTAACACTTAATAAATTTTGTAAATAGTTTGTAACAAATTTTGTAAATAGTTTGTGACACTTCTCACTGGAAACGTGGCATTCCAACTTAGCCCTCAGAGGTGATACTGCGTCTGAATTTTGATTCTTAATAGAGAATAGATGCAGATGTCAATGAGCCATAGCATCCAATTACCATCGGGTGGACTGTGTGCTCGTTTATCAGCCTTATTCTATATTATATTTTGATCATGGAGATTTGCCTTAATAGCTACGTTTGACAAGGGCGAAAACTTTTTTTTATAGTAAAAATACTAGTAATGCCATTAAACATTAACAATATTCCCTTTAACCACTTCTGGTGAGCTTAAAATGCTTGTGTTAGAAGTGGTCCACGACAGTAGTCGAATGTCGGATTCGAACCCACGACCTTTCGAGTTCGCGGTCCGCGCCCTGCCATTAGGCTACTGACGCTTCTCTTGCTATTGGGATTCTCATTTTGGGAAGTAGTAGAAATAAAAGTCCACCGCGCCGACAATATGAGAAAATACTTCGATTTACTTACATTTATTTGTTTCATAAGATACGCCGCTTTAACAGAAAAAACACGGTCACGGTGTTTTCAATCACAACTAAAGTTGCCCATCCTAATGTATAGTAGTTTATTTTCAAATATTAGGGGCTTAGGAGCCTAATAATATGATTCTAAAAAATGTACAGTAGATCAAAATACCAGTTAATGTTAATAAGGATTCGCAGCAGTTGAAATAGGTATTCTTTTTTTTTTAATTATTAATTTGAAACATATTAAATCTTTTTGCCATCTACTCTTCTACATATAACTATTATTATATCCGTTGGGCTATGTCGGTTACTCTGGTTCTACTATGGATATACTCATTTTTAAATCCATAGCATAGCCCTCACCGTAGCTCGCTGAGCGACCTTGAGCATCCTCATACGGCCTGCAGTGAAGGACCACGTCTCAAATCCATATTATATAATCACTGGAAACATGCACTGGTTGTACAATCTTGTCTTCAAGTTTTGAGTTAAAAGTGAAGAGAAGATATGTCGTAATCTCCGATCTCGGTCGAAGTTGGACTTCCTAGTCGTATAATTTGACCAAGGTAAACAAACTCGCCGACAATTTCAAGCGTAGTGCTCCCAACAACTACTGGCAAAGGTGTAAGAGTGAGTCGTCGATCGATGGTAGAATGGATTAGTCGACATCGATGGAGCTGCTTGATTATTCGAGAATTCGCATTTAAAATGTCGTTTAGATGAAATAGGCGATCACTAACCTTAAAAACAGTCGCATCCAGTCTTAGCGTACTGGTCAACAACGCGTCCATTTCTGAATACATTTTGAAAAATACTGATGAAGAGCCCACAACAACATCGATTAATTGTAGATCGATGATTGAACAGCATTTTATCGACCAATTTCCTTCGATTAGCTAAAGATAACACAGCATTCGATCGACATGAATCAATGGCATCGATCGACGATCGACGTCAATCGATGGCCTCGATCGACGATCGATCGATTGTTGTGGTAAACACTAACATGGGCATCATTACACATGACTTTACAGATCAATAAGGTGAAGAGGCAGTGGGCCAGCTATATAGCTTGAAGAACCGACAACCGATGGGGAAAAAAGATTTAGAACGACAATAGACATGATATTGATGGTACAGGTTAGGGTTCAATTTCGCTTATCAATCAGCGTTTAAATAAAAAGCGCCGGTCACACTTAAAAACATTGCAAGTCCAATACGTGTCCAATACATTACAATATATACGTAGTAGAGCCATGCTGCAGCTATATTAGTAGTAGTGTTGCCCAAAATCGGTCTTGGTCTTGCAGTCTTGGTCTTGTTCTTGCATTTTTGCAAGACCAAGACCAAGAACAAGACCGCCTCTTTTTAGCAAGACCAAGACCAAGACTGACCGTGCAAGATTTGCGCAAGAACAAGACTAAGCTTGCGAGACTCTTGCGTCTTGCAGTTAGGACTAAGTGTCGTTTCAGGGAGTATAGGAGTTCGGGTATACGCTTAGGGACTCTATGAGACGCAAAAAATATAATTAAAAAAATTGGAAAATTGGACTTATGCGCATTACGAACAATACCATAAATATACATAGCGAATGAAAATATCCATTAAAAGAAAAAAGAGTGCATCCCTAGTTTTGACCATCGGCACTTTGATAGTGCGCGGCGTCTTGTTGTCGGCGTCATCAAAGGTCGGATACTGACCTGTCAAAGAAATTGTGCAGCTATTCGAAAGTACAAGGTCAAGATACACGTGCCGGCGGCTACTATTGATATCGCATAATCGTCGCCGCCGCGCCACACGCACTACATTTGACACGGTTTGATTGCCGCCACAGAGTACATGTTTCAAAGAATAAAATAAGTTTCCGGGTGCTCAGAATGGACACGAATACATTATCCCGATCTCGCAAGAAATGTTGTAATTAGATAATAGGTAGGTATCATAGTAATTTATTCTAGTAAGTAATTATTATAAAATTAACTATATGGATTTATAATAATTACTTACTATTATTGTTATTATTATTACCTAAAAGATAAACATGTTTAGTAAGTTCGATGCAAATCTCGACTTTTGCAAGTGTGTGTTTTTAAAACACAAAGTGCTCGAATATGTCGGCACACATTTGATAAATATGGACACCATAGCACTTTTAAAACACTTGAAATGTGTAAAAATGAATCTGGATCTTGTCTTCAAGACTTAGTTATTAAGGAGTTGAAGGGGTACCTAGGTAAACCCAGAGCCGTCATCTCGGAAGACATTTTAGACTGTTGGAGGACGCATGAGACAAAATATCCGATTTTATCGAAGATGGCCCGTGATTTTCTGTACTGAAGTTGCAGGTACTGAGAGATTATTTTCTAAAGATCTAAAGCATCATTAGTAATTAGAAAACATAGAAATAGGTTAAGTGATGAGTCAGCCAGATGGTTAATTTGTATTAATGCTTTGTCAAAAGAATAAATATAAAGTAACAGTAATGTCAAAGCTGTTGTGTACATACTGTGAAGTAATTTAATTTGCATCGTATTTTATTTTTTATTTAAATAAATTGTATATTGTAT